CAATTATTTAAAGAAGTTTGTTCTATTTATTACTCTAATAATACAGTTGCCATTATTCAGTGGACTTCAAAAAATAATAAGCATTTCTTCACTAATATGACTACTCGTTACCTACAAATATAAGTTTATGGCATCATGATAGGTACCAATAAATGTAAATTAAACAGATAACAACAGACACACTGAGAAAGCTTGAGATAATGTGTTCCACAATATGCATGATAACATGCACAGTTGCCAGATTTCTTTCTTTTGGTAAATGAGAGGTAAGTATTTTGGTATAATACTTCTGAATTTGAAACGACCGGCGGGTGAGAAGCACTGGTATAGAATTAGTGTAACTAACTATGTAGACTGTTCAGTAAGTAATAAGACTAATTTTACTGTCACGAAACCACTCGTCGGAAGGTTAATTTCTGTGGCATAAAAAAAGTTTGTTGTCTGTATTAACAAAAGCTACTAAAAGATGGCGTGTACAGGTTCATGTTCCTGAGTATCACATAATTGAACTGAAGCGTGTTTGCGGGTGCCTATGAGACGCGGCCAGTTGTCGAAATGGAAGCGTTGATGGAAGAACGTTATGCGATTAAATTTTCTGTTCGTCTGCAAAAATCAGCATCGGAGGCCTTTGACATGATATGTGAAGCTTTCAATGATGAAGCATTAGTGAGGGCAAGTGTTTTTCTCTGGCATAAAGCTTTTAAGGAAGGCAGACAAAATGTGGAAGATATTGAACGTGAGGGACAACCTCCAACTTCCGTCAGAGACACAATGTCCGTAACACAGCTGCGGTTATCATCAAGGAGGACAGCAGAATAACAGTATGTCATCTGCATGTGCTCTCTTGAATATTTCTGTAGAAAGTGTTCACTCAATCATGGCAGAACATTAGCAACTGAAACGTGTTTTTGCGCGATGGATTTCGAAATTATTGACACCTGAGCAAATGCAGCATAGAGTGGATGTGTGCACAGAATGGAAAGAAAGACTGGAACAAGAAGGCGACAGTTAAAACGCATCATTACGGCAGACAAAGCTTGGTTGTATCACTATGACCCAACCATGAAACAACAAAGTAGTGAATGGAAACATCCATCTTCACCTATTCCCAAGAATGCAAAAACTGTGAAATCGGCTGGTAAGGTTATGACCATTATTATTATTTTTCTTATTATGAAGGAATTGTGTATCAACACGGTAATACCGTAAACAGCTCGTACTATACGAATGTCCTATGAACAATGGTACAGCACGTTCAAAGGAAACGTCCATTGCTCCGAAATGGCTTCCTATTGCATCATGAAAATGCCCGACCACATATTGCTCATTATTCGTGCAGGATGTTTTGCAGCAGAACAACGTAGATTTTACTGCATCCTCCATACAGTCCTGATCTCACTCTATGCAGTTTCTGGCTGTTTCCTGAACTTAAGAAACCATTATGAGGCAAACATTTTGCAAGCAAAAAAGAATGTGTAAAGGCTGCGGAGGCAGTTTTGAAAAAGCTCTCAAAAAACAGACTTTTACATGTTTTTCAGAAGTGGACAGAACGTTGAGATAAATGCATTACGTGCCGTGGTAGTTATTTTGAAAAAGATCATGTAAATGATGACGATTAAAGGTATTCTGTATTTTTTATAATTTTAGTCTTATTGAACAGCCCTTGTATATGAGATTTTTGGAAGGTGTTGAAATAATTACTTAACTTTTCTACCTCTGAAAATTTGGTCCAAGTATACCATTAATATTTTAAGAAATTATAGTTAAAGTGATTGAAAGCCTGCTGCTTTGACTGATGCTCACAGTCTCTCTCAATTGTTGCTTAATCTCTGCATTTTCTTTTTGTTTCCAAATTACTTTCAAACTCTTCAGTGAAAATAGCGACAGTCTGTTTTCATAATGTAAAACCCTACCGGGAGCCAAGTAGTTAACAGGTTGGGAAATGCCAGATATGAGAAAATTTTGGAGAGTTTAAAAAATGAAATTTGTGTTAGAAAAGCCAATTGAATGAAAGAAAATATTTCCAGTCTAAAATTGTAAAAAGAATCATGTTATATGTTACAAAAAACAAACATTTAAAATTATGTTAAGATTTTAGAAAGGGAAAAAAAGTGCTTTTCAGGACCCAAAAGCCTATATATTTTCATAGACCTTAACATAAAGGTAAAATATCTTAACTGATTAATGAAAACTCCCCAACCATGAATGATGGTGGAGATCCAGCCAAACTTTTGCCCACCATAATGGTAAAAGTTTGAAAGAACTGACTAATTTTTATATCTTCTGAAAGAGAGCCATGCAAGTTGTTATCACTTTTTAAATGTAAGTGGGATTCTGAATTGTAGTCATGTTAGTTACAGTAGATGCTGCATATTGCGAATGTGGTTAATATTATCCATCGGATGTTGTTATTGAATTGCCGAAGTCTCATTCATTCATGTAGGAAAACATGGAAATATTTGGTTACTGTGATCAACTACTTGGTTAATATGATCAAAATATTATGGAATAAATGTTTTTAAACTGAAGTAAAGGTGCCAAATTAAAATCAAAATAGATTATAAAAAATACTAAGTGACAGAGAAATGCTGTCAAATAAGGGAAAATTTACCAAACAGCTTGGTTTCGATTTTAATCAGCCATTTAAAGGTAAGCAAAAAAGGTGACCTTAGTTTGGCATAGATGTAAAGGTGCCAAATTAAAATCGAAATAGATTATAAAAAATACTAAGTGACAGAGAAATGCTGTCAAATAAGGGAAAATTTACCAAACAGCTTGGTTTCGATTTTAATCAGCCATTTAAAGGTAAGCAAAAAAGGTGACCTTAGTTTGGCATAGATTTTTGAATAACTCTATCAATTCTGAGGGTGGTCAGACACAGGTCTTAAAAAACTTGCTTTTGGTGGAGGAATCAATGAAAACATCTACTAAGGTTACCCTCCTTAATTTTAAGTTTTACATTGGCATGTTCTCTTTCGATCAGGAAGAATGCTTTCCAAGTATTAGGATTAGGGATTCAGCATTGGTCAAATAATTTCCAGAAATATTTTGAACAGTTTATAAATGAACTTTTGCATTAAAGCCATTGTGAACAGTTCATAAACAAAGTTTTGCCTTTTGCTAAAAGTCTGTCATTTGCTTAAATTCTCATTTAAAAATAAATCTAAAATTATAAGATATTTTGGTTAGTTGAATGGTTTGGGTTTTAGAAGTACAGTCAAAAGTCGTTAATCCGGACTCGTCGGGACTTCGGCGATACCGGATTATCGATTTTTCCGGATTATAGATCATCAGTTTAAATCGCGTAAGATGGCATGCAGAAATTCTAAAATTAAAAATATGAAACCATAATTTATGAAATAAAGAACAATTATGATCTAAAGGGTATCAAAATTTACAAAAAAAAAGCTTAATATTTATTTGTTTACTTTAATTAACATTTCTTTCAATGTAAGTTGTTTAAGTTGCTTCGTTTTATGTGATAATACTTTCTCTTTAATTCTATAAACAGACATAATTTCTTGTTCACTTACAAAGTTTAGCTGTTCAAGTCCCCTTAATTGCTGTGCCGAGAATACCGACTAACTTGTCAATCGAAATTTTTTCATTTTCACTAACCTCTATGTCACATTCTTCATGTCTTTATCCATTTTTTGCAGCAATTCCACTTTTTGTTTGATGGACATCGAAACATACTTTCGTTTTGTACGATCCTTTGGGAGCTCCAGATTCCGAAATTCTATTTGACATAATCGAAAGTTCAAGTTTACTTTTATAGTATTGCTCTTACAGTCTGCAAAAAATAATAAGCCGGATCCAATTCAAAAATTAAGGAACAACGCAATCATCAACATAAACTGAAATAGATAATTAGATAAGTTTAGCTTATACCGTTTGTTATACATAAAACGCGCATGCGAAAACGTATTCTGCGCTTGCGCACACGCAAATGCGCAGTCGTAAGAGGTCTTACGCGCACATGTAAACGCCTATGCACATGTGTCAACGCGACGCATGCGCAGAAAGTTTTTAGCTTTGAGGTCCGGATTATAGATCATTCCAGATTATGGGTGTCCAAATTAACGACTTTTGACTGTTGGTTAGAATTGACTTTAGAATCCCCTTGTATTATCGCAAAGTTGTTGCTTCATTTATCGCCAAGTTGTTGTCTTATTTATGACAACCTCAGTAGTTGAATGCTATGGAAACCCTATTATGACATAATTGGTTGCAGGGAATTTGAATCATGGGAAAAAATTTGGAAAGTGTGTGTCTGATTTTGACTGAAGAAAGACTCATAAATTTGTAAATAAGGTAAGTGGATATTTCCTTTGTGTAGTTTTAAGATAAATATCTTTTTTTATGTTATTTCATTGTTTGATTTAAACTGTAGTTTATTCAGATTATATATTTTTTGTTGGCTGCTCCTTTGACTTTTTAAGTGAATCTAGTTTGATGTGTACATGGAAGTCAAGGGAGTGCACAAAGCATAGTTTGCGCAATTTTCTGATTTTTTTTTTAAAGTGAAAATAGGTTGATATGTACATGGATAAAGTCAAAGGAGTGCGCAATGCCATTTTTTGTGCAATTCTGAGATGTTTTTTGAGGGAAAATAGGTCAGTGTGTACATGGATACCGAGTTTGTGCAATTCTTTGTCTTGTTATTATTTCTTTGTGTAGCAGTGATTTATTATATAAATGTAAGCTATTTTATTGTCCCTTGCAACTGTCTCAGTGGAAATTTGCCTTAACATTAATTTATTTTTCATTCAGATTTATTATTATTACTTAGGAATATTCTTATCTTTCAGCTTTAGTTAATAATTTTTCTGAAATTGTAGTTGTAAAAGTTAATGTGTACCAGTATTTAAAAGAATGTTATCTTTAAGACTTTTATAATGTATTACATTAAAAACATTGTTTCTTGCATTTTTACTTTTCAGACAATTCAGATTCTCAGCTCACTCCTCACTTATTAACATTTCTAATATTCTATTTAGGGAGTTGATTATAAAGTAGGAAAATTTCCAATGGTGGCAAACAGTAGAGCTAAAACCAATGCTGAAACAGATGGCTTTGTGAAAATTCTTTCAGATAAAGCAACAGATAGGATACTAGGTGCACATCTTATTTGTTGGGTAAGTCAGAGTATTTAAAATATGAAAAATTCAGAAAATTTATGTCCAGAATAATTTATAAATTAAGCATTTAACTAAGTTTCAACTTTTTTTTGAATTTATTTCCAGTGTCATTTTGTAGTATTCCTTTTTTTTAATTCATTAATACGTTTAGTAATTAAAAAAGTAGAAGCTATATAATTTATATTAATACATCTATAATCATTTTTAAGTACACTGCATACCTTTTAATACATACAGTTTTTTACTTTTCATGTATACATACATTTTCCTAATCTATAGTCATCATTCTTTTATTCAATGCATCACAAGCTTTTGTAATTTAAACCACAATAAAGATTTACCTAGCGGGGGAAAGTCGCGATGCGCAATGAACTGGAAGTTGATCTGTCAGCACTATCCTCATCTTCAGGGCAGATGTTTTTATTTTATTTGGCTTATAATTTCTTACTAAATGTAGTATTTCATCTCGATGTACTCCGTCTTTGATATGATTTAAGTCAAATTCCTCGTCATTATAAATATCACGAATACACATCAAATAGTTTTCTGGTTGAAATTTTCTAATTTCGACTATGCGTAATGTATGCGTAATGCGCATTGAAAGAAATGTTTAATAAAGTAAACAAATAAATATTAAGCTTTTTTTTTTTTTTTTTTTTTTTTTTTTAATTTTGATACTCTTTAGATCATAATTGCTCTTTATTTCATAAATTATGGTTTTGTAATTTTAATTTTATAATTTCTGCATGCCATCTTACCAGATTTAAGTTGATGATCTATAATCCGGAATCGCCGAAGTTCCGACGAGTCCGGATTAAAGTCTTTGTACTGTATCACTTTTTATGTTACTCTTTTAATTAATTGATGAAAGACAAGTTGTAAATATAATAAATAGTTTTGTTACTTCTTATTATTTTATTGCTTTTGATCAGTCATTCATTGATGAATTTACATGCACATTTCCAAATAGTTTCAATCTTAAGTACTGTGATATCATCAGCATTGACATGACAGGCCTTTGTGGGCCCTGGCCTTCTTCAGAAGCTTTTCTCATTCTACCCTCCTTCCAGCAGACCATCAGTTCTTAATTTTTAGAGTTGCAAAATCCTCTTGTGGGTAATCTCTCATTTTTTTGTTAGGTCTTGATCTTCTACAAACAGGAGTTGTATTAAAGGCTTTCAGGATTGTTCTCTCAGCATTCATTCTCAGGGGGTAACCTGCCCATCTGATTCTACGAGGGCAATCCCATAAAAAAGGTCTCCTATTTTTTGGGGACGTAGAGAAAGTTTTAATATGGTTGTTGGCAACACTGTTGTGAGTGGTGCCTTCTCCGCTACCACATAAGCACGCAAGCGCTTCGCTCGGATGCTCAGTCTTGGCTTGGCAGCCATTTGAAATGGAGCTCCTGATAAACGTTACCGCGAAGTGCGCGCAGTTATTCGATTTTTTGAACGCAAAAGGCGTTAAACCGGTTGAAATTCACCGCCTATTGACGGAAGTGTGTGGACAGTCGTGCATGGATGTCAAAAACGTTCGCAAGTGGTGTAGAGAGTTTACAGCCGGTCGTACTGAAATTCATGACGAAGAAAGGAGCGGGAGGCCGTCAATTGCCGACGAGACAATCGCGAAAGTTGAGGAACTCGTACGTAAAGATCGGAGGATAACTCTGGATGTTCCTGAAGGGCATGGCGGCAAGCTGGTATGACATGGGCATTGTAAAACTGCCACAGCGTCTACAAAAATGCATCGACCGAAATGGCGATTATGTTGAAAAATAAAATATTCTTCAATCTTTAAAGTGATGTAGCAATTATAGAAAATAAACGGTTCTTTGTATATCTAAAAATATAGGAGACCTTTTTTGGGGGATTGCCCTCGTACGTAATTTGATGAATTTAATAATATTCTCATCTTTATAAATTTTGTAGAGTTTGAAGTTATACCATTTATGCCATATAGTATTCTCCAAAACAGTTCTTAGAATAGAAAAATAGTTCTTAGAATCTTCCTTTCAAAGAACACCAAAGCTCTTTCTTCTCTCAGAGTCCATGTCTCTGAAGCATGTTAAGACTGATTTTATTAATATCTTGTATAATTGAATTTTTGTCCTTCTCTTTTTTATTAGATGGGATTTCAGAAGAGGTCGTAAATCAAAGAAACAGCGATTTGCGGCAATGATTTTTTTTGTGATTCCAGGATTCATATTATTTGATAGTTAATTTTGGAGCCAAAATAGGTGAAATTTTTTACAAATTCAAATCTAAATGGGCCAATCTCAAATACTTTAGGTGGATTTTCCTTTTACCACAGTACATATATTTAGTTTTTTTTTTTTTTTACACATTTACTCTGAGCTTCATTTTCATGGCTGAATTCTGTGGTGCTAAAAAAGGTCTCTCCCAGCACAGCTGTATATCTACATCATTAGCATAGGCCAGAATATGTACTAATTTATTAAATATAGTACCTCTTGCATTAATACCAGCATCTCTTATAACTTTCTCTAGATTTAAATTAAGTCTAATTCTTCCTAACTCCATTGCAGACCTTAAAGGAGGCAGATGTTTCTCCTTGAACTCGTACCACAGGCATGGTTTCTGTTAGAGTGAGCTTTAAGTTAACTTAGTTGGAACTTTGAACTCGAATAGTTCTTTTAGTAACTTTGCTCTATACGTGTTATCACAGGCTGCATTGAAGTCGACAAACAAGTGATGGTTTTCAATTCCATACTCTTTACATTTCTCCAGTATTTGTCTCAGAGTAAAGATTTGATCAACTGTAGATCTTCCTTTCCTGAAACCACACTAATATTTTCAATGATAGGAGACAAATGATTAAATAAAATATTTGAAAAAAACTTTATAGGCAATGTGTACTATAATTTTTACAGTTCAGTATGTCACCTTTTCTGTCTATAGGACATAGAATACTTAATTTCCAATCAGTAGGTAGGACTTCCTTTTCCCAGATAGATACCATTATTTTCTAGATAATATTTATCAGATCTTTTTCACTATGTTTTAATAACTCTGTGGGAATCGCATCAGGTACTGCTGCTTTGTTATTTTTCAATTTATTAATACCATATTTTCTTCAATGGTTGGAATATTAACAGATTGACTTTCAATCACTTGACACATCAAGTTTAAGCAGGTGGTCAAAATGTTCAACCCATCTATTTAGAATTTTTTCTCTTTCATTAGCAGTAGTTCTATTTGTGTTCTTATAAAGAGTTATCCTTCGTGTCCCTACACCATTCATTGATGGCCCTGAATGCTCTCATGATAAATCCTAAGGAGTTTGACTCCATTACATTGGTTCTATTTGTAAATTCTCTTTTTTCTTTTATGTATTCATTATGTGTGCTTTTATATTCTACTGCTCTTGTGAATTTTTACTGAGCATATTTTTTATGTTGTATTTTAATTTTCATTGGCATTTCTGCACTCATCATCAAACCAGTCAGTTCTTCTTTACCTATCAGTGTATTAGCTGTTGATAATATAGATTTCTGGTTGATCTTTACAATATGGTAACTGGTAGTTTGGCGACATTTTGGAGGCGATAAAGGTTACTACCTGGGACTTTGGTAATAATGTGAGTAGTACTCAGTTCCGATTACGCATTATTTTGTGTGAGGGAAATGAGAGATCATGGGATATGTCATGTGATATTAATGGACGAATTACGGTTCTTTAATCGGAAAAGGGGAAATCGGGAAAAAATCTGGAAATTTTGTATTTGGCTTTATTCTGTGTGTGTGAAACAGTTGTTCGTGAATTTTTGTATCCCATGGCCGTAACTAAAGTGAATTCGAAATGGGTATTTATGTATGTATTAATTTAATGTATGTGTCGTTTATATTTTAAGTAGTGTTTTTGAATTGATTATATTTAATTAAATGATAGTTATTTTGTGAATTTTATGTTTGTAGGAATTTGGTATACGTTTTAGTTGAAGTAAACGTGCATGGAAATAATTTAAATATTTGATACTAAGTATTTGTAATGCTTGCGGTATGAATTCGTTGGTGACATGTATAATGTAATAGATGATTTAGAGGTAAAAGTTTTTGGATATTTTATTTATTTTATATGTGGAAATGTTCATTATTTGGAAAGGGTAAATACTTTTTCGCGATCAGGTAATTTATATATGTTCCTTTTACCAGGTTTAAAAGATTGAGAAAATTGTCATGTATTTTCGTGAATGAAATTTTTCTAAATTTATGAGAAAAAAGCAGTGTACATGGATATAGTGAAGAGTGTGCGCAATGCCATTTTTGTGCAATTCTGGATGTTTTTTTAAGTAAAAATAAGTCGGCGTTGTACATGGTTTATGTTGTATGTGTTATTTTGAAAAACGCGTAAGGGAGTATGGTATTGTGCACTTTTTCCCAATTTTGCAGTGAATATTTGTCATGATTAAGCAGTTTTGTTAGATAAAAATCTCTAGCATAAGTGTAATTCGGCTAGTAGATTGTTGGAAGAAGTGTTCAGTAGATAAAAAGAAAAGAAACATGTCTTTACTTCGTGAAGACAAAATGGCGGCGGGAAAAAAAAATAGAGGGTTGCTGTAGGAGAGTTGGTCGCCAAATTTTCGCCAAAAAAACTTGACCGCTGGTTTTGATATACTCTGTGGATCTCTTAGCTTCCCACAGTTGAACTTTACAGAAACACTCTTTTTTGCTTTCCTAGCTAAAAAATTCCTTCCCCTAAATTTGCAGATCAGAATCTACATTAGCTCCTCTGTCTCTGTAAGTTCTCACATTCAGGAGGTACAAAAATTGTCTAGAGTCGATCATCATATAATCGATCTGGTTGTTATAGAGTCCATCTGGAGATTTCCATGTTATTTTATGATCATTTTTATGCTGAAACATTGTGCTGCCAACCATCATATCATGGGAAACGGCAAAACTAATAATGCTGCTACCATTATCATTTGGAGATATTGTTTTTACTGTTTCAACTGATACTACCATTAAATCTGAATGTTAATAAATATTGAGTGGAGGGAGAAAGACAAATGAAGCTCAAATTAAAAATTTTTAGTATGTAAAAAAGTTACAATTTGTTATATTTCGAAAACATTTTTACTGTGAAATTTTGTATTTCTTGGTTTTCTGTAGCATTTCACAATTTGTTTAATATGTGATATCCATTAAATAAACTCAATTGAGAGTGCAATAAACTAGTATTTGCATTGTAGAATTTTCCTGCCATTTATAATTGCTGATTCTGAAATGTAAGTCATTTTAAGTGCTACATTAAAAAAAGGGGAAAATAGTAAAATATGTAGTGTGTTTTCAAAGTTCTGGGAAATGAGATTTAGTTCAATTCCTAGAACTTACAGGCAACCCTATCAGACAGAGACAAGTCTTGACATGCTTATGCAACTATTTTGTGCAATATTGTGTAGTACAATTCAGTTGTTTGACTGATACATGCACACTTTTATGGCATTGTTTTTACCACCATGGATGATGTGAAAAGCAATCATTTTCTTTTTTGTGAGATGAGGGTGTAAAAATTTCAGAAATTGTTGTGTCTGTGAGGAGTATCTTTTCCCACATTTTTTGGGGGGGAAAGAAACTTTATGGGCTGTTTGATTTGAAAGTTTAACCATACCATAAATAGGTGGATTGAGGAGAGACCGAGAAATTTTTTCGAGAATGGCTTAAAAAATTAGTTTTTCATTGGAACAAGTGCATTCAGTTAAATGGTCAAAAATCTGCAGTGCAATATTCATGAAAATTGAAATAACAATATTGTATTTAAATTCGTAGAAATTTGAAAACATCCTTCATATATAAGGATCTAATTTGAAGTTACAGATAAATATTTCTTTTTTTAAATTCTGTTTTTGAGTAAATGAGGGATTTCTTACTTTCTGACTATTTTATTAGGGAGCTGGTGAATTAGTTAATGAGGCAGCTCTGGCCATGGAATACGGAGCATCATCTGAAGACGTTGCAAGAGTCTGTCACGCTCATCCAGTAAGTTAAATATGTCAGTACCTGTATAATGTACTTGTCATTAGAAATATTTTACTATTACATAATTGTGAGTAATTATGTTTTAAAATTTATGTTTGTATATATGTATGTATCCTATATATATATATATATATATATATTTTTTTTTTTTTTTTTTGCAGACTGTTTCTGAAGCATTCAGAGAAGCAAATTTATCTGCTTACTTTGGAAAACCTATAAATTTTTAAGTGACAGAGAAGCTAGACTTGAAAGAATTCTGTAAATTTTAAGGTGTATGCACATTGTTATGCTGTATGATCATATGCAGCACAAATGAAATGTAGAATAAGATGAAATTATGTGCATTAATTTAGTGTCCTTTTCCAAATAAAATTTATTTACCTATTTCTATGCAGATATTTGAGTAATTAACATGTATTTTTCTGTACAAACTGATTTTGATGACAAATTTTGATGTATCAGTATTGTTATGAAAATTCAAATTGAAGCCTCCAAAGTAAACTAAAAAATTATGCTTAAAACTGTAATATTCTTAACATTTAAAACAACATTCAATAACAATTCATAGCTTCCTAATATCCCGATTTTTAAATTTTTTACCAAGGAAAATGTTTCTTAGCAATAAACAACACTTAAATTGCCCCATTTTTTTAATAATCTTATCATTTGAAAATCGAGAGGGGGAAAAGTACGTGAATCACTTAATTTTTGAACAGCACAATTACAGTAAGAACATAATAAATGAAAAGTAGTTGTGGATAAACTATAGATAACTACCACAATATTATTTCTTTAAGAGAAACCTACATTCCAGTAAGAATACACATTAATATTAATATTACAGTATCTAATAAGGCTTCTTCATTTCTACTTTCCTATAACCTGAATCTTCCCCATTCTTATGGTTGTCTCCTTAGGCCTCAAAACATTCATAAATAATTTAGAGAAAGTGGATGGGCAGTCCAGTTGGCAAAATCATAGACTGAATATTAGTTCGTGCTTGTTTCGCCGTGATGAGTTGATTCTTGTAATAGGCAAGCATAACATTCAATGCTTGAAGGGAAAGTTTCAATGTGACCTTCGCAGGTAGCTTGAGAGGGTTTGTCTTTATAAGTTAGATGAAAACAATCACCAAGTGGATGAATCCATTTTAAAATTTACCGGAGCTCATTCTCGAAATGCATTCAGGGAGCGGGAAATTTATGTGAATATTTAAAAAATTTTCAAAACCTGTCTCTAAAAAGCTGGGGGTGGGAATAGAGTAACTCTATTTAACCAGAATTTTGAGAGTTTTCTTAAATACAGCATTCTTATTGTAAGTTAACATGGATCTTTTGAAATTACTATTTTTTTATAGAATATAATAAGATTTCAGCAAGTATGTTACATGCCCGTGGTGCCCTGTGCACCACATTGCTAATGGCAGCCCACACGTGCTGAATGGGAGAGATTGGGTTAGGCTGCTGGATCCACTGCCTCTCTGCTGTGTTCTCAGATGGTCCTCTGTCCATCATGCCACACATCGCTGAACTGTACAAATGTCCTGTCCAAGACGACTGGCAATTGCACGCATCGACAAACCAAGTTCGTGCAGTTCTAGGATAAGTTTTCATTCCTTTTACAATAACTGCCGACCATTCAGCTCGCTGATATCTCCAAGGGATTTTCTATCCATTCTCAATAATTCCGTTTGAACAGTCTGCCATTGATAGTATATAGAGAGTGAGCCAGCTACTGATGTTTTTAGCCACAAACTAGGTATCACATGACCAGATGTGCATGCAAATTTAAATCATTTGCATATGTCTCTGACATCTACCAATTGTGTTATTTTCACATCACTACGCATATTCCCTCATGTTGTTGCAATATCACTTTTGACAAGTATATTAGATGAAATAAAATGCTAATTGTTTTCATCTCAATGTAGAATGTTTGTTTCAATTATTGCATATCAAACTTGAAATCAAGCTGAATCTAACTAAATATTGCAGTGGCTGCTGTGATTCTTTGCTATAGGTGCAGAAGGTATGAATCTCTTGAGCATATGTAATGTTCTTTGGCTTACTCCAAAAGAAAAAGCAGTACCTTAAGACTGCTGGTACTGATAGTATGATCACAGATGAACTGGCTGGGAGCAGTGAAATCCAGTATGCAGATGGTCCAAGTTCCGTGGCATTGTGAATGCTCATCATCTTCCAGTGGCACTGTGTAAACTGGCACATGGATGCAAATTCATAAACACGACGATTACATTCGGACTGTAGGAGTAAGCGAAGAATGTCAGGTAGACGTGTGAGCTGAGAGAGGCCTGATCATCGTTATAAAAACCACAGGCTGGTTGGCGCGCTTATGTTGCTCGCCAGGTCAGTTGTTCAGAGTGTGCTGTCAGAACATATTGGGAGCAGCAGATGTGAGATGGTACCCACATGTGGAGAACCGGGTCTGGAGCTACCGGGAAGACGATCGAAGGATCCCACAGTGACTCGTTTCATGATACAATTAGATACAGGTTCCAATTATTCCACAAACCATTTCCAGATGCCTTGCAAAAGTGAATCTGCAATTCAAGCTTCCTTTTTGTATACTGCCTTTCACACAGACTCTATCTACAGTGGTGCCAAGTTAGAGCAACATTTAATGCCATAGACTGGCCAAACATGGTATTTAGTGATGAATCCTATTTCGTTTTGGGGACAAATGATAACTGCATACAGGTGGAGGAGCCTTGATGAATGGTACAATTCCACCTACGCTGTTGCGGTCTAGGAGGTTATAGTCTATGATAGCCGGTCCACTCTAATTGTGGTATGTGGAACCTTGATGGGCCAGCGTTATGCTGATGACATTCTTCGTACCCATGTCGGACCTTTGCTAAATGTTCTTCCAGGGGCAATTTTTCAACAAGGTAATGCTTTTTCACATATAGGTCGAGTTGCTCAAGACTTTATACATCATGTTCAGACTCTTCCATGGCCGTTTCGCTCCTCAGACTTGTCCCCTATAGAGCATGTACAAGACCAGTGCCGCTGTGTCACTCTGTACACGATTTGTGGGCTCATCTGCCTCAGGACAACATCAAACGTCTAATTAACTGAATGCCAAACCATGTTGTGGCATGTATTGCAGCAAGAGTTGGTCTGATGTGCTACTGTTACACTGTATTTGTCTTGATTTAGGGATCAAGTTAATCTTTCATCTGTATTATTATGTGTAAATTTCATTTCAATCTGATGCTCCCTTCTTGGTGCACTATTTTCACTGTTGTTGAGTATATTTAACCCACATCCATAAAAACTAATGCTGTTTCACAATTTTTAAATCTGCATCTTTCCTGTGCATTTAAAAGTTTTGAAACATAGTTTTTATAATTCTAACTTACCGTCTACAAAAATTATGCAAAACAAAATTCTAAAACAATATTTTCTTTAAAACAGACTGTAATGCCAATTCAGAAGAGTGATGTATTCAATAAAGATTTGGTCTATACTTCAATACACAAAGAAAACAAAGTTTTATTGTAATAAACTTATTTATTAAAATGCTATTTTTATATCTATAATATAAGCACCACACTTTTTTCTGTTCATTAAAATTTTTTAAATCTGAAAACTTGGTCTAGGGAAAATCCTATATTTAACGTTGCACAAAATAAAACAAAGATCTGCTTGATGTTGCATATAATTCTTTATAATATATATAGATTTACCTCTATACAATTACATATATTTTACAAACAAATCTGTAGTTTTACTGTGGAGTAAAGAAAAACATTTGGCATTAGTCAAATATTTACATCTATTATAACTATATGTAATACATAATTCATAAAATGATTTGTAGTTTACTATGAAGTAAAGTATTAATAAATGCACAATTTCAATAGAGTGAAACATTAGTCAAATATTTAATACAGTAGTTTACAACTGAAAATTGACAAATTACACATTCATAACTGTATAACTGATCTGTAAGTCTATTTTTGAATTATATGTTTATTTTAGCTCATAAGAGCAATTATAAAAGGAAGGAACAAGAAGAGTAAAAATATACAAAAACAGTAAAGCATAAAAATCCCAAACACTTTTAAACATTTTTTTCCACATATACTTCAACACACAGAAACACCATAATAAATAAATGTTTAATGAGAAAAAGAATGTTTCAAAATTAAATAGTTTAGGCTTTTAATTTAACTAGTCTGTAACATCAAATTCAAGCCACAGAAGTTCCATATACAAGGGTGGGAAAAGACAACAGACTTAAATTTTGATGACAGTCATTCTAATTTATTGTTGGTCATTTGTTAAAAAAATACCACCTAACTAGAATTAAAAAAAATATTAGCCTCTGCTTTGAGTACATATTTAGCATATAATGGTTTTCTAATAACTGATTATACATATTACTGGAGACATAAAATGACCCTAATAAATTAAAATTTGATGCAAGTTCTGATAAATATAGAGCACTGACATAAAATTTTGGAAAACATTATGAACTGATGTTTGACAACTTGATATTTCAAGTATAAATATATTAAACATAACCAAAAAACACATTTTTTTTATGTTCAGATAATAATAAGAGTTCAAATTACTTCTTAAAGATCACTAGCTTAACCTTTCAACTAAGAACTGATTTATTTAATTTGGCATGTCCCCCATGAGTAATCTAAGAATTTATTTACATTTCTCATACTGGATAATTCTCATGTAAACGGCTTGATTTTCATGTTAGGACAATTTCCAATTTACTGATTATGACAAAACCCTATAGGGCTATATGGCCTCAGATTTTTTTTAAAAAAATTGGATAACACTTCATTTACATTTTTAATTACAAAAAATATGTTTTTTATTTTTTTTTATGAAAATGCTAATAACTGCGATATGGAAACCAAATACTTTATTCCTGATTTTGGATAATTATGCTCGTCTTTTGAAAAACATTGAATATTTCAATTTGAAACTCGTGGCAAGTATAGATCAAAAGACAAATTGACCCATCATTAAAATCAGCACTGATTTGAACTTTTTTGCCTCTACAAAGTCGGCATTTAAGAAGAATATAACAAAATAGTGGACAAGCAAAATATTTTAAATATAATAATGAACTATGATGATACAACCTTTTCAAAAAATCAAATACATAAGAAAAATTTACAAAACTGGTATTAAAAATCTAAATTCCACAATTTATCCAGAAAATTGATAAACAATAGAATAAGATACATATACAAAGTATTTGCAACACACACACACCTATCCATAAATATTTTAATTTTTAATATGAAAGATATTAATAAATAATTATTGAGACACTTCAATGATTTCTAGTCTGTACAGATATTTACAAAATTACAATACTGCCAATGTAAACACTAAATATCAAAATTTATTACAAATTTAAATGACATATATATGCAGTTCTATATATTTCAGTTGTAAAAAAATAGAAATCCATTAAAGATGATTCTGTCAGTTTAAGTGAATATTTTTAAATATGAAAATGAATAAATAATTCTTTATATTGTCATCTTCAGTCAAAATGAGTCGCAGAATACATCATAATCCAAGTAACCTATGAGAAGGGATATATGTATTATTATAAAGGGGAAGAAAGACAAAAAACCAGTTTGAATTTTTTTAAACATCAAACTTAGAAAAATAAGGCTTCATGATTTGTTCTCAAATAAGAATTTAATATTTTATTTATTTATCATTAAACTAAGTAATTACATAAAATTTGGTTAATTGACTAATTTAAAATAAAGCACTCAAAGGCTATCTGCCTAAAGGTTTGATTTACATCATGGAGAATAGATAAAAATAGATAAAAATCTATACAGATATAATTCAATCATAGAATTAATTACCCTTGTTTCCCTACTTAATCTACTAGGGGACTATAAAATTCTTTTTCTGAAAATCAAAAACATATGAAATAAATTCAATATTTTATATTAGAAAAGGCAAAGAGAAAAAATGTCTATGGAATGGATGCACTCAGTTAATCAATGATTAACAATGTTTTTACTCGAAACACTGAGTTTTTGATTAATTTCATGAGTTAAATTATTTTGTTAACTTGACTTGCTGTTGTGCAAAATTTAAGTTATGTCATAAAACAGAACAATAAAATAATTGATGCAACTTAATTTATATTATTTAATTTTGTTTATCTTCATAATTCTACTAATTTTATTCAATTAACTATTTAGATGTTTTTTATTGTGTGTTTTTATTTAGATGTATTTATTTCTTAATGAGGCATTTAGAAAAATTTTTTAACACTAAAAGTATATTTTTATGTATCTATTTCTCGTAAAATATGATTCTAACTTTAATTTGTAACAAGATTGTAAATCTTATTTTTGGTTCCATTATTTCCCCTTTATTCTAAAAATAGTAATATTATAATTTATTCTAAAAATAGTAATAATTAAATCTTTCTGAACCGCATCATTTCAAAACTAATTCATCATGAGAGTCATAAAACACTTAAAATGTATGCATTTATGCAAAATACATGCAGAAAGTCTTTTAGCCAATAACAATGTCAAATTTTGCAAACTAAAACTTAAATTAACAAAGAGAAATTAAAGTAGAAATATAACTTCACAAATATTCATATAAGCTGTGCATTTCTTTGCAGCTTTTCCAGCCTGTGAAAATGTAATAAATTTTCCTCCTTTTTACTTAAAATATATGAAAAATACGAATGTAATTACTGAAGAATATATCAGTCTACTGGTATATTTATGACCACATCAAAATTATCATTACAGGTACACTGCGCAAAAAAAAAGTGGGGTACAGTTCGATATCTCCCGTTCTGGGCCGACTGACGAAATTCAAATTGCGCTTTTCATGTCTCGAAAGCGTGACTGAAGATATATATTAGATTTATATATAGCATTGTTCTAATATAGGTATTTTGACATGAAATCGGACTTTTTTTTTAAAATAACATAGCAACTTTTTCCATATTTCAATTCAACAACTCAAATTATGCCTTGATATTAGATTTTGTAATTTTTGGTAAGAAATTTAAAAATTTACCTTGGCACATATTTTTTTTAGTTTGCACTAAAAACTTCTTTCTTTTCTTTCTTTTCTTTCTTTTTTTTTTTTTTTTTTTTTTTTTTTCCACTGTACACGAGCAGAAAAAAGGTCATCATTCATACTTTCAAATAATTTTAACAAAATGCATAAACCATATTTGGTGTTATTATCACTTATAATAAATATGCCAAATTTCAAAACGTGCCAATATATAAATTCATGTATATCTTAAGAAATTTTGAATAAAAAAACTACAATTTTTTGCAGGTATGCTTTAAAATACATTTACTATAAGATGATGGTAAAAATTTTATAGGTTATAATTCAAAATTGTTTTAAAAATTTATTAAATTTTAAAATACAAATTTAAAAAAAAAATCATAAAAAAATGGACAAATTTTATTTGGAATGAACCTAAATTTCGGAATGTGAAAGGAAGAATCAAATAAGTTTTAATAAATATATATCAAATTCAATTAACATGGAGGAGCTAAAATTTTGAGAGCTAATTTTCAAAAACTACTCGTGCAATTTTTTACAAAACTTGGCATAATTACAGTCGTAGAATTGAAATATGGAAAAAATTATTATGTTATTTTAGAAAAAGTCCAATTTTGTGTCAAAATACCTACGTTAGAACAATGCTATACAGTCAAAAGTCGTTCATCCAGACTCGTCGGGACTTCGGCGATTACGGATTATATATAGATCATCAGTTTAAATCTGGTAAGATGGCATGCAGAAATTATAAAATTAAAAATATGAAACCGTAATTTATGAAATAAAGAACAATTATGATCTAAAGGGTATCAAAATTTACAAAAAAAAAAAAAAAAAAAGCTTAATAATTATTTGTTTATTTTATTAAACATTTCTTTCAATGTAAGTTGGGCTAAACCACATTTCAACCGTAAGTTGTTCAAATTGCTTTGTTTTATGTGCTAATACTTTCTCAATTGTATATAAACAGACATAATTTCTTGTTCAGTTACAAAGTTCGGCTGTTCAAGTCCTGTGCCGAGAATACTGACTAACTTTTCAATCGAAATTTTTTCGTTTTCACTAACCTCTCTGTCACTTTCTTCATGCCTTTATCCATTTTTTGCAGCAATTCCACTTTTTGTTTGATGGACATCGAAACATACTTTCGCTTTGTAGATCCTTTGGGAGCTCCAGCATAGAAAATTCTAACATAATCGAAAGTTCAAGCTTACTTTTATAATATTGCATCAGTCTGCAAAAAATAATAAGCTGGATCCAATTCGAAGATTAAGGAACAACGCAATCTGCAACATTCAGTTAATGTCAACATTCAGTAAATAGATAATTAGATACTTTTAGCTTATACCATCCATTATACATAAAACGTGCATGCGTCAACGCGACGCAAGCGCAGAAAGTTTGTAGCTTTGAGGTCCCGATTATAGATCATTCCGGATTATGGGTGTCCGAATTAATGACTTTTGACTGTATATAAATCTAACATATATCCTAAGTCGCACTTTTGAGACATGGTAAACGCAAGTTAAATTTTGACCATTGGTCCAGTGGAATGGGAGATACAGAACTGTCCTTTTGCTTTAGTGCAAGGTGTACTTGCAATACAATCTATTTCTCACATGTGATTTAAAAAAAAGTCAATTCAAAATGAAAATTGAGTTTACACTAATTGTGTTCAAAACTAACATTATTGTTTAAAATGATATGTGCAAAAAGGACACAATTCTATATATGCAAGAAAACCTGATAATGAATTATATGTATGTATTTAAAAAAAAAAAAACTGATTTATCCCACGTTTGGACAAACAGGATTGATATCTACATATATATTGAATTTCTATTGCAATGTTTGCTAACGATTAAGAGGTTAGCAAGATCTTGAAAATGTTATCAATCATTAGGAAAAACCAATGACAGGCCAACAAACAATTATCCAATGATAGCCTCCAATGAATTTTGTGATCTTGCTTTTTTTCCTCTCTTCCCCCCAATTTTTTTAAAAATTAAAACAGGTCACTATGTTCCAGCTATGCCTTGACATTGTACACATTAAACAATGCATGGTACTTTCATATTTTTACAGCCCTTGGCCATCAAGATTTTTTTTTATATAAACACCAAGACTTTATTATTATTATTATTACAGTCAAAAGTCGTTAATTCGGACACCCATAATCCGGACCTCAAAGCTACAAACTTTCTGCGCATGCGTCGCGTTCACGCATGCGCACAGGCGTTTACGAGTGTGCGTAAGACCTTTACGGCCGCGCAAATATGTTTTTGCGCATGCGCGTTTAATGTGTAATGGATGGTATAATCTAAACAACAATTATTTAATTCAGTTAATGTTGCAGATTGCGTTGTTCCTTAATCTTCGAATTGGATCCGGCTTATTATTTTTTGCGGACTGTTAAAGCAATTTCATAAAAGTAAGCTTGAACTTTCGATTATGTCAAATAGAATTTCTGATATATATTTACTAATATGTAATTTGTATCTACAAAGCGAAAGTATGTTTTGAAATCCGAAATCTGTTTATCAATTTCACACCGTGGATTGGAAGTAGATCTGTCAGCACTATCTTTATCTTCAGGGCAGATGTTTTTATTTTACTTGGCTTATAATTCCTTACTAAGTGTAGTATTTCATCTCGATGTACTCCGTCTTTGATATGATTTAAATCAAGTTTCTCGTCATTATAATTCGCTTCCGATAGTGAAGAAAGTGACCCACAGGTTACTGAAAACGAAAACATTTCGACTGACAAATAAGTTGGTAAATTAGTTGTAACTAAACAAGAAATTATGTCTGTTTAATAGAATTAAAGAGAAAGTATTATCACATGAAACGAAGCAACTTACATTGAAAGAAATGTTTAAAGTAAACAAATAAATATTAAGCTTTTTCTTTTTGTAAATTTTGATACTCTTTAGATCATAATTGTTCTTTATTTCATAAATTACGGTTTCATATTTTAATTTTGTAATTTCTGCATGCCATCTTACCAGATTTAAACTGATGATCTATAATCCGGAAAAATCGATAATCCGGAATCGCCGAAGTCCCGACGAGTCCGGATTAACTACTTTTGACTGTATTTTAATTTTCTAATGCTGCCAAAAATAGTGATAAATTGCCGAGTGCATACAAAAAAGATACATACAGAACAGTTTTCAGTTAATTTTAAGATACATATTACAATTTTGTAAGACGATTGCTATTCTGCGTTATGTAAATTCAAAAAATTTTGTTGCCATTATTATTTTGATTACTACTATTCAAAGTCAGATGACATTTACACTGACAATGATATCAAGTAATTAATTTACATCAGGAGAAAAGCTGAGAGTAGGCTATATGTTAATGAGTTTTCTATTTTCAAAAATATGTTTACAATTTATAATTTACTGACAACTGAGAAAGATAAGAGCTGTCAATAGCAAAAATATGTTTACAATTTATAATTTCATACATTTTCTTAAAAAAAATTTAATTTAATTTAATTTGAAAAAATCTAATGTCTATACCACATGACTTCCTTGTAAGGAATATTAAATTATACGCATTTTTTCTTGCATTTCATTTAAACTTATTGGATTGAATTAAATCTACTTCGCCAACAGCGCATAAACCACAATAGGATAAATGCATTCTTTCTTTAAAATTCACTTTATTTGTTTACCATAGCGACACACTCTCCTGGCACTAGTTTCACTAAACGTATTATATTTTGTTCATATTATACTCAGAATGCACAAAATTTATATCACTTAAAGAATCTATAATCATTGCCACATGTTCTATTCAAATACTATATTAAAGTTTAGAACGATGTATAAAAGAATTAAGCAAGCAAAACAAAAAGAAACAGTTTTTCACAGACGATTGAGTACTTCATTCAATAATTCAGTTCTCACTTTGCGACAAGAAGGCAAAATACATAAAACTCAAAATATCTGTATTACAAATTATGAAGTAAATCTTAAACACTTATTTCCTTCCTCAAAAAATTCCAGAAAGGATTAAGCATGATTTAATTCACAATAATAAAATAACTAAAAGCGTTATCTTTGTTGTTGCGAAGCTAAGTTTCTCTAGATTGCAACAAATCCACTATTCTGCTGTTTCAAATATAAACAAGCAATGGCCGCCATCAAAAACCTTATTAGGCTTAGCGGCACTTAAAAGAACTTTAAAATTGTCGATAATTCTAAAAATATTGCATACAGATTTACTAAAGGCATAAGAACCTTAACCGGAAGAACCAAATTTGTCCGCCATGTTATTTAAAACTTAACCGCACTTAAACAGCTTTTAAATTTTTGATAAATGTACAAATATTGCTTCCAGAATTACGAAAGGCATAAAACCCTTAACCGGAAGATAAGAACAACATAATTCAATCATTTGTAAAGCAAAAAATGTGCAATTTACAAACATATAAGAGTAAAGAAACTGAGATCACTGAGCTGGGTAATAGAGTGGATATAATATATAATAATTTTATATACGTTTGGTGCCTGCCGATTGCAACCAAAATACGAGTGCACATCTATGTTATAGCAGTCCTATATACAAAATTTCAACGTTGAGCTACTCGTTTTGAGGCGAGATACGGTACGTACGAGATACTACGTACATATGTTCGTAGGACGCCACGGAAAAATTCTCTTCAGAATTAATTTTTAAAGCAGTTTTATAATTTTTTTGAAGGAAAAGAGTATTTTATTCTGTCCTTACGTACAGATATCACGCAAAAACATAGTTAAATTGCATTCGATAGCGGTCAAAATGGATATTTTCGTTGAAATATGCTGCCTGAAACTTTTAGCAATTACAATACTTCCTTTTTACTTCATACAAGGAAGTAAAAACATAAATGTTAATACTTTTTGATTTACTGATGATTAAAGAAGATACGACATACTTCTTCCATGAAAAAGCTATTTTATAATGCACTTGAATATGCAAAAATAGCCCTGAAACAACATAACAAGTTGCAAGCCCCCCCCAAAAAAAGGCCATATATTTTGACAATGGATTCAGTAGCTCTAGAATATCATTTGTAACAACACTCTGATTTATTTACTTATCGGCGGATGAAAAATGATGTTGATTAGGTGGTGTGAGAAACAACTCGATAAAAATATGTTTGATGAAAATAACATTTGTGAATAGACCCCATTTTAATGCATTTTATTTCTTTTTTTTTCCATATTTTAATGCTTTCTCTTTTTTTAAATGTTAATGATTTTTGATTTAATAGTGCCAGAAGAAGGTGCTTTATATTCTTATAAGAAAGAAGCATCATTTCACTTTATTTTAGATAGACTTGGTGACATTATAATGGCAAATGTGAAAATGGGAAAATACCTATTGCATGGCTTTTTTATAATACTATATAAACAGGCTCCCATATACATTTGGTGACTGGTGTTCTCTTAACACAAAAGCTTTTCCTCTTGCATGCATATCTATATAATTTTCGGTACTTACGTATTATCGCAACCAGGTTGGTGCGATTTGTAAGTTTGAGTAAAAAAGTATGAATGAAAAGAAAATGTACGTTTATTAATTAGAGATAATTTAATACTGTTTTTTATATTTTTTTTTAAAATAAAAATAGCAATTAACCCTTCCGTTTAAATTTAAATAATTGCAGAATTATTTTTTCGGCGGAATCTTTTGCTATTGCTTTTACACGATTGAAAACCGTATTCGCCATACCTGTACAGTAAACTTATTTTCTTAAAAAAACATCCCAGAATGCACAAAAATGGCATTGCGCACCTCTTGACCTTGTAAATGCAGGAGTGCAAATTTTTGTAATTTATGAGAAAATAGGAGTGTAAAGTCAAGAGTGTGCGCAATGCCATTTTTGTGCAATTCTGGGATGTTTTTTTTCAAGTAAATAAGTCGACGTGTACATGGTTTCCACATGCTCTTTTTACGTAACTACGTATAACGCGTAGGGTTGCGGTAAGTAGGGTCGCCAAATTTGGCAATTTATGCAAATTTTGGCCTGGTTGCGTTAATACGTAAGTACCTAATTTTCTTAAACAGTTTTTCTCTGTGTTTATTTATTTATTTACTAATACATTTTCCCCGCTCAGGAATATTTTTTTGTTTTTAATCTTGGATCAAATTAACTATCAATAAAAATAATTAATAATGATTGTTTCAATTTCTTATAATAATAATAAATATGCACTTAAATACTTAAAGACAGCATTAGAATAAATTAAACCTTACTAGGAAACTTGCAAATGAAGTCATAAAGCCTTCTTTTATAAGTTCCCATGCTCCTCCAAATTCTTCTTCATCAATTTTCTGGAAGGCTGTTGTATATGTATAAAGACTTACTACATTTAAGAAACAAAATCTAGAAAACAGAAACATTTAGTCATTAGATAATTTAAATTGAACAATTCACCAAATAAAATATTTATCATGAATCTAAAAATTTATCAAAACATTATTTCATATATTGGAGCAGGATGTCTCTTAAATAATTTAATTAAAAATAACAAAAAACTCACCAGAATAATACAAACTTAAGCATTTCTTTTAAAAAGGAAATGAATAAATCATTACTAGTTTTCTCTCATTAAAGCTATATCATACCAAGCTTTTTTTTTTTTGTTTTGGCAGCATCACTAATTTAGTCCAGTTTCTCTTCCAGAGGAAACCGTCTTTAAATCCATAACTCATGCAACCATGTTTTTCATCTATTTTTTTTAATAACTGGAATGGCTTTTACAATTTGGATTTTGGAATATTTCACAGTAAATCATTCTTATCATCTCACTGATGCAGATACTTGGTGTCATGCTCAATCTGTTCAGTGCTAGAAGTAGGTGAAAAGGGACATTATTGCCAATGTTGCCAATGTTGGTTACCATGCATCTTTGGCATTTAAACTCTCACTTAACTAAATTCATCTGATATTGCATGCATTCCAAAAAGAAATATTCTCTGCTTTGATAAATATCATTTTTAGTTTTATGTCTGCTGTTTATAAGCTTCTTTCCTATTTCGACATTAATTGTTCTGAAACAGATTATAACCTATAAGATGATTCAGCTAAACATATTTTTACACTTCATTCATTCTGGCAAATGAATATATTACTTTTTATAATTCTCTTTATGCTGAAGGTTAGTCTTAAGAAGTTATTAGTTAAACTGTAAGGATTATGTTAATTTTATTAACAGTTAAATTTTAAGTTCCTTTCTTGTCAAATTCTTAACTTCAACTTACTACTTCCGGCCAGAACGTAGTTTTAGAATCACGTCTGAATACATAATGAGGAACAGCGGTATTTAACCACCACGTTCTTAGGTAGTAGCAAGAACGAAATAGAGTTTCTGATTTACCCGTGTGTGCCTTTTGGCCACTCTCTCTCTCAAAGCTGTTATTATGATCGCCCGTACTCAGGCCCTTGATAGCTTCGCAGTCATCTGGTTTTAAGGGCCAAGCATTTAAAATTGATAACTTCGGCTATATTTCTTTAGTTAATTTTAGTTTTAGTTTAATTCTTAGTCTCTTAAGTTCAAACCCAAGTGTTGTCTTTGATTGTACACTCCAAGATGGAGTTTTGTAAAATCTTATTGGAATAATTAAGGGTTAGTTACTCTTCCATCTTGTTGTTTCTTGTCACATGAACTTACGCGATTATTCGCTAACTCAAGATTCGTCACTTTCTACAGTAACTGAGAATCACACTAAGTGAAAATCTTACAAAACTAAGGTATTAATACTTAGAGGTATAGTCTATTTTCTCACATACGCAGATACATATACAGGTGCTTCAAAAAAAAAAAAAAAAAAATAGTTGATTAACATACCAAACAGAAAAGAAAAGGATTAATTATCCCTCAAAAGGTTGAGCATAGAATTTTATAACAGTAACAAATTTGAAATTCTTAGTTTCATACAGACATGCAATTAATTTTTTTTAAATGGAAACATACTTACAATGCTAATCCTATAAATCCTTTCAGAGGTATTAATCCCCATGCTAGACCTATAAGTACTCCAATAATTTGTCGAGCCCAATAAATTACATCTAAAAATTCATCCTACAAGTAAAGAGTCATTATATAAATAATAAGTATTTTACAATGTACAAGAATAAAAGAAAAATGCACTCAGTGCATTTTTCTTTAAGTACTCTTCTTCTTTTAAGTCGCATTACACAAATAGAATGCTCTAAAGATCTTTTGGACCATTCTATTTGTGTAATATACCTTTAATTACAAAAATGCTATTATATTACACCTGTAAGCACATGTATAATACAGTCAAAAGTCGTTAATCCGGACTCGTCGGGACTTCGGCGATTCCAGATTATCGATTTTTCCGGATTATAGATCATCACTTTAAATCTGGTAAGATGGCATGCAGAATTATAAATTAAAATATGAAACCGTAATTATGAAATAAAGAACAATTATGATGTAAAGGTATCAAATTTTTACAAAAAAAAAAAAAAAAAGCTTAATATTTTTGTTTACTTTTTAAACATTTCTTTCAATGTACGTTTTTACGTTGCTTCGTTTTAAATATAATACTTTCTTTAATTCTTAAACAGACATAATTTCTTTTTCATGTTAAAAAGTTCCGCTGTTCAAGTCCTTAATTGCTGTGTCGAGAATCCAACTAATTTGTCAATCGAAATTTTTTCATTTTCATACCTCTGTTCACTTTCTTCCTATCGGAAGCAAATTATAAGAGGAATTTGATTTAAATCATATCAAAGACGGAATACATCGAGATGAATACTACATTTAGCAGGAATTATAAGCCAAATAAAATGAAAACATGCCCTGAAGATAAGGATAGTGCTGACAGATCACTTCCAATCATTGCGCGCCGCGGCGTTTCCCTCCCTCCCCCCCGCAGAGCTGCGTGAATTGATACAGATTTCGGAATGGTTATGTCATTTTTTGCAGCAATTCCACTTTTGTTTAATGGCTTCAAATATATTTCGCTTTGTAGATCTTTTGAATATAGTAAATATATGGAAATTCAGTTGACATAATCAAAGTTCAGCTTATTGTATAAAATTGCTCTACAATCGGAAAAAATAATAAGCCGGATCCAATTCAGATTAAGGAACAACGCAATCTGCAACATAACTGAATTAGATAATTTAGCTTAGCTTATACCGTCCGTATCATTAAACGGCGTCGCAGAAGTTTAACTTTGAGGTCCGGATTTGGTGTCCGAATTAACGACTTTTGACTGTATATACAAATTTAATATTTATATATAATTCATTATTACATTATGCAGAAGTCAAGTGTAACAGGGATTTATCAGCTTTATAACTACCCTATACAGGTGAACTTTAGGATGCATGCGGTGGCTCAAATAAGCCCTTTGGTGAGTTTGGGATATTTATGTTTAAATTTTACAAACAAAATGTTATTTTATTTACTTCTTTCCATACTTATGTATTATTGCAATCACCTTGGCCCAGTTAGTCGAATTTTATGGAAGGAAAAGAAAAATTACTTTTATTGTTAAAAAATATATTTACATGCATACATAATCAAATGTGCTTTAAAGCATTAGCTAATCATTACTTTCCTCTTCTGTGCAAGTATTTTAACGTTTTAATTATATATTTATTCCAAAAAACAGTCATTAAACTGAAGTTACAAATGGGTTTTTGCAGTACAACAAAAGCACCACATACGAAAATGGTAATGTTAGAAAATGTGAATGGTTGCCTGAATAATTGTTATGCTTGTGGTTAACAGAGTTGGTGCATTTTGAAACTTTGACAACTTCTACAGAAGTGGTTGTGATAATATGTAAGTATCCTTCTTTTCTTTCTATCTCTTTTCACCATGAGATTTGCTCATTCTGGAATTTATTTAGATTTGATGAGCAGTTTTACTATAATAGATTTATGAATCAGTGTGTGAGAGTTTAATCTGCAGTCTGCTGCCTTAATGATTAAAATAAAGTCTGTCCATGATTCCAATGCTGGGTGTGCTGTGAAACTGTAGGTTGAGGTTAGATCCAGCTTTGGTAATTGTTGTATTTGAATTTCTGTCACAGTTTAGGCAAAATTTGTAATCTCCAGCCAAATTAGATTAAAATTGTTGAACTGTTTACATTCATTGTGAAAGCTTCGAGTTTCAGCCAGGTCCAGGTTGGCTGGCAAATTTGTGTTTGTATTAAGACACAATAACACGCCGAATAAGTACTAATTCAGAAGTCAAACAACAAAAATCAGCGTTAATTTTCAAAATTTTCAAGACTCTTCGATGGTTTTACCAACCCCACTCAGCTGCAAACCGCAATGAACAAGATAAAATAATGATTAGATAGATAAGAAAGCGGAAAGAATAACAGTGGCGCCATCTGTTTTGAAACCAGACTAAAACACAATTTCTTTAAGGCCAAGCCAAGAGGTTGGAATTAGGATCTTAACAAGAAAAAGATTTTTTGAAGTGAAATGTCGTTAAAATCAATTCCCAATCGAATTTTTTTTGAATAATTTTGCAGCAGAAGAATTGAAAGTGGATTTCGGACCACAATGTGCCACAGAAACATCTGTGTACCTTTTTCTAATATGCCTCATTCCTTGATGCGAACTTTAGGCTTCTTGTTGGCAATTAATAAATCCCTGGCTAGAAATCATATAAAGACCCAAGAATCATATCCGGAAGGGGTCCTGCTTATGGAACTCGGAATTTATTTGCGACAATAAACACCCGAAAGTTAATTTCGCAAAATTGTGCATCTTTATAGCTAACTATGGAAAGAAGGAATGACAACCAGAATTTTTATATCTCCTAAAACCGATGTGCCTTTTAGGTGAGGATGAGATTTTTTATGACTGATAATAATGTTGGGGGCAAGGCCCCTTCAATCGCTATTGTTTTTAAATAATTTGTTATACCTCACGGGATTTTTGGAGGACAAACTTGAAGAAGCACGGAAACGTAGGAATATGAAGCTAAACTTTTGTTTAGTCGGATGACATGATTTGGGAAAGTGTGGTGGCTGGAAAACAACCAAGGTTACGATAAACCGTAGTACTGAGGGGCTTCCCATGGCTAATCCTCAGTTTGCGTAATATTATTTTGGAAAACAAATGTGTTGTTCAAAGAGTTGAGTGAAGAAATTAGCTATCAATTTCGATGAAGAGAAATGAAATTCGTGAATCGGTTTCTAGACATTAATGCACCCGCCACTGAATTAGGATAATGATTTTACATCAAAAGAAACCATGAGTAAATTTCTAGGAGAAATATTAAATATTGTGTTTGTATATTTAAGCACTCATAAATGGTGGGACAGAATGAATTTTAAGTGCTTTAATTTTGTGTCCATTTGTGATATGATTAGATTTTCTTGTGAAAATACACCTCACAAAACAGGTGTAACATCTTATTGATGCTGTATTGATATAAGTAAATTATTTAGAACCCACAACAAGTGCTACAAATTTACCTCTAATATACTAGTCCTTTAGCCTTTCTGATTGTTTATTTATTTATTGCAAGAAAAACACTTTTGTCTTGCATGTCAGAATCAAGCATTGATTTAGACTGATCTTTCTCTTCCTGAGAATTAGAGTCTAGTCTGGTTTCATTTTACATACAGTCAAATGTGTCACAGACAGCTCAAAATTTAAAGAGTAGCCATAAAAATACCACGTGTTTTTGATAAATAAATTGCTCAGTATCAAATTGTTTCATCAAATAGTTTCTCAAATCTGTTGCATCATCATGCAATATATTTGAGATCTAATGACAATTTCTTTACATGCTTAATGACTATCTCCTAATCTTAAACATTGCATTAAAAACATTTTTAGTAGAAAATATGTGGCAACTTCTGTCATAAATTGTACCCCTAAATAAATGTACTCTTTATTTTATGTAATTCTGATATATTTTGTGATTACTTTTTATAGCTTTTTTAATGTACTGTTTGTTCATGTACAATTATTTGTACTTCCTGTTTCTCAAGAAAGGAGAACATCCAATTAGAACTGATAAATTTTTTCAGAAGCTAGAATGTGAACTTTCTGTTAAAATTTTCAAAGGTCAATCCTGCTAAGTTGCAAAAATTAAAGCTCTCAATTTAAAAAACTAGATGAAATTTACCAATTATATTGAAACAAACAAGAAATACATAAATAAATAGAGCAAAATTATTTCTCACTAAAGGATTATGAAAAATTATCTGCATTATAGATATTTCATAATTTGCATAATACTTACATGTACAAATGTGGTTATATGCTTATACATTTTAATTCTGGATCTTACTCTTTTTGGGAAAAAACAAAGAATCTAAAGAATATCGGTCTATTACAAACCTTAGCTAAATTATGAAGATAATATGAAATTAAAGCAATTAAACTGCTTATCCTTTTAATGACCCAGTATATAAACAAAGTGTTAAATTTAAAAATTCAGTTTCTTTCCATTTTGGAAAAAATCCATTTTTTCTGATGGTTCATCACTTAACTTGCCATTCATGTTTAAAAAATGCAGTTTCTTACAAATGATAATTTTAGACAATAAATAAACCATATTAAAAAATGGAATAAAGTAGATATATCCATTATTGCTATTGTACTACAATTACTAATTCACAATTACTATTAGTTCTAATTTGTGCACTAATAACACTTACAGCAGAATGAAATACTAATAATATAATACATAATTATAAACTACTAAATATAATACCCATCAATAACAAATCTAATTTATCAATCAATAAACCTGTCAAAAACATATTAAAAACCTATTTTAAAGTTTATGATTGATTTCAACAATTATTAAAAAAATTTGCATTACTGATGATAAATATTTTTACACAAAATTTTAAATAAACGAGGCAGTACACTATAAAAGCATCTATATTTGATATTTATTTACAAATCATACAAGATGCAAAATTTACACGTCAATTTTATTAAAATATTAATAATTAAACACCCCACTTGCACCAGGAAGTTTTTATAAAAAGTAGATTTTTCTAAAACTTGCTTAAATTTATATTAAAATACACTCCAAACGTATACTAGTTAAATATTTGAAAGTGCACGATAAACAAGAACATTCAAAATAATACTATAAAGCACGCACAAATAAATTATTTATCAGCAAACAAAAATTTACATTTCAAATTTTATTAAATGATTTTTAACATACCTTATCTGGCCACTTAGAACAAGGTGTAAAAATTCGTGCCCATACAGATGGTAAGGCAGATTTTACAGTGCCATTTTTCTCTAATTTCTTCTTGGGATGCATAATAAATATTTAATTTAATTAACTACTATCGTCACATCACTTTTCTAACACGCTGTAAATAAAAAAGAAAAAACAAGAAACAAAACCATTTACAGTTACAGTTACCTAAATTTCTAGCTTTTTTATTTCTTTCTAGCTTTCTCTAAAGTTGAATGATTTTAAGTTTATTTTCTGAATTGGTGAGTGATAAAAATATTGCGAAGTTAATAAAATTAAACTTAACTGTGTAACTCTGTTCTGTTTGATTTAAGTATCCCTAATCCAATATCACAAGATCAGTAACAAGCACGGAGTACCCCGTGGTAACAAGTAAAAATCTCACTGTGACATTTTAGTTGGGCATAAATTCTCATAAAACTTCAATAGGAAGCTAATTTATGAAATATTATCAAGTTTAATTTATGAAATATTATTAAGTTTAAATAATCTGATAATTATTTTTATTGCTTACATAATTAACATTTAACATTTGAGTATCGTATTGTATCATCTCTTATTTTTGTGTTTTTTACAAATTTTTTCTCTTCTATTTGCTTCAAATTGTATTAAAAGTGCTTTCTGAGCAGTAAATTTTATTTGAAAACTTTGAATAAATATTTTTTCGGCCTAAACTGTTTGACACTAAAACAGGAGGAAGTTTGATTAAGTAGCAATAAATAAATTATTCATATTTTGTTCATTTGAAAAGCGATGTGTATAAATTTTCATTCTGCTTTGGAAAATTCTGTATTATATAAGGAATTCAATCCATTTTTAAAAATAAATTAGATTCAGTAGCTTAGGAGCGACAAACAACAAAATGAAGAATATGTAAAAAAAATTTTTTCGAGTATTAATTTCAAAAAATTCTTGAAGCGTAATTACTGTATAAAATAATACAACATTTTTAAAACTTTTATAAAAACGCGCTGACTCTCCATCGCAGAAAGAGACGGAAAAAAACGTACTTTCCATTTTTCGCTTCTGTTATTCTTTCTTTCGTAGGCGGAATGATTACTGAGCATGCGCACTGTCACTTCTCGGACTATTAAATATTTTAATATTTAGTATTGCATTAATTTTGTCTATTATATTTCAGAAAATAACATAACATCATTTTAATAAAGTTTTATAATGACAGTAATGATCAAAATTGAATGTACCTATTGAAGTTAGAAAACAAAACAACCATGGGCGGTGGCGTGCGGCATTCGCAAGTTTTCAGACGACAGAGATAGTTTTTTTAAAATACCAGTATAGGACGGGCTTTTCGTAGGAGAGTCCGGCGCGGTGGATGCTCTCGCGTATTTCGCACTTAATTTCTCGGATTTTTTGTATTCTTACTCGCATTACGTGATAAACAATGAATGCAAAGCGATGTTCGCGTTGTGAAAAAACTGTTTATCCGTTGGAAGAACTTAAATGCCTTGACAAGGTAATATGAATCATTATTTAGGCTTAGCTAAGTTATGTGGTTTATTCAGAAACTTGATATTTGTCCTAGATTTTTAAGTAGTTGATAATAGGTGTTACCCATGTAAGGGAATGCTTTAGAATCATCCTATTTTAATATGGTAATCTTAATCAAAATATAGTTGCAGTGAAATTTGTTGAATGTTGCTTGTAAAGTGTTATGCCGGATATAACGTTCAATTAAACCGATCGCTTTTCAATATTGTCGATAATCGAATGGACATGCATTAATTTATTAGCCTCCCAAATCGTGCTTGACATATTAGTAATTAGTTCAGTAATCTGGTATGATTTGTCTCGATTAACTTTGTACTGCTCATTGTGAAGGTTGCGCGGAGATTTAAAGACCCTTATAAACAAACATTTGAAAAATTTGAAGTTTTATTTAACAATAATTAAATATGCTTTTATAGTAACGGTATCTCGTTTAAATTTAAGATAATTTTATAGCAACGTGTATTTTCATTTCCATTTAATTCTCTAAATGTCTTAATCTGATTGAAGAAATATGCAAAGTAATGATCTATGTTATCTTTGATAAGATCATTGATTGTATAGAGAAATCAGTTATTTTGGAGCAAAGTGTTTTTATAATTTAGATACAATTATGAAATTTATATTTAGATAAAGTGACAATTTTCTGAAAAAAATCTCATCAATATCATATTGAGATATTCAATATCAGATATCAAATAAAGTCTTAATATTTTAAAGCCGGTAAATTCTCAGGTATTGGATCTTATGGGTAAAATAGCAGTTTGATGAATTTTTTAACTACAATTTTGAAGTTTTTAAAATACATATTTAGAAACTTCAAAATTTTCTTTTATGTCAAGAATTGTAAATTTTCCCATTTCTAAATCTAGTATGAAATAATGTTGCTAATTTGTAGTTCTCACAGTTATGTAACAAGTATTTAAATTCATCAAAATTTTGATAGCAAACACCTTTTTTTAAAATTCTTTATATGCGTTTTGCTATCAATATTCATTGCCATCATTATCAATATGCAGTTACATGCGTTACTTTGTTATTCACAGTGAATTAAAAATCTAAATCTGCTTAAAATAAAAATTGCAAAATCATATTTAGTAATGGAATTTTGGATTTTTTTTCCATTTTTTGGTGGGATTTTTTTGACTAAAAAAACACAAATGCATTAAATTGAACACATACGTACAAGTTGTTTGGTCACCTGATGGCACTGATTGGGTCTCTGCATTTGTTGGGCTTTTCTTTGTTAACAGGTGTCAGAAACCATGGGGACTGATAATGGAAAAGTAGTGAAATTTTTAGTTAGTAAATTGGCGATGTCCTTAGTGATTAAATTTTTAAGTGTTCTGTGAGCATATTCTGTAGTATAAAATTATAACACTAGGACAAGATGTAGCATTTTATTTATTATTACAGTTATAAGGGCTCATTAGAAAAAATGAATTGTAAATTCAGTATATGAACTCATATTTAAAGAACTGATGAAATCGAAATTCGAGAAAGCTGTCCTAGTTCTTCTGTATCATCTCTCATAGTTCTTGCATTGCTTCCTTAGATGTTTTATAGAGGAAAAATATTGTACTTTATGACTGTATGGAACCCTTTCCACCTTTTGGTTTCAATATTTTGTTAAATTTCCATGCGTTTGACATAGTTTATGTTGTACGTTTGTAATAACAACAGGCATAACTAATCATGATGCCTGCTGAAGTGGATAAAGAACTTATTTGGTGGCTAACAAAATTTTGAAGAATTTTGAAAGTAGTTGCTGGTCAATATATATAAGTTGTAAAAATGCAAATACTGGTTATATCGAATTTTTTTTTCCTTTCATAAAATTTCATTTCGTATAAAATACTCCTTTTTATTGTTATTCATAAATATAACTGTATCTGTCAGCTATAAAGATAGTTGAACAATCTTGTTTTGCCTATGAGTTGGTGACATTTTATGGGAGTAGGGACAATCAGAAAGTACCCAAAATAATATAATACAAAGGTCCAGGCTCATCAGGACTTCAACAGTTCCAGATTTGGGATTTTTCTGGATATTAGATCATCAGTTTAAATCTAGTAAGATGACAATGGATTATATTAAAAATATTAACATGATCTATGAAACAGGAAGAAGCAATTGACTTAATGGGATTAAAATTTTACACCCATACTCAAAATTGCTCTATATATTTGTGGCTTTTTCCTTTCATTTAAGTGTTTACTTTTTTTTTTTTTTTTTGCTAATACTTTATGTTTAATTCTATAGATAGACGTAATGTTTTATTCTGTTACAAAGTTCCATTGTTCAAGTCCTGAAATTCCCGCTCTGAGAATTCCAATTAAATTATTAATCATTTTTTTTCTTTATTACACATTATGTAAAAATTGTTTTGCACCTGGAGCATATTTAACCCTTTGGCTACTTTTGACGTGTCGGTACGTCATACATTTGTTGGGCAACTGAGAATTCCAATTAAATTATTAATATATTTTTTTCTTTATTTACCCTTTGGATACACATTATGTGAAAATTGTTTTGCACTTGGAGCATATTTAACCCTTTGGCTACATTTGACGTATCGTTTGTTGGGGAAAGATACACATGACGTTCCGATAAGTCATTGAAACTGAGACGAGATTTAACTAGTTTATTCTGGTTTATTTCAAAGTAATGTGTATCTGTTGCAACAGGGCAAATAAATTTCAGAAGTTTGGTGAACGTTCTTTGGGATACACAAACGCATAATGACAGAAATAGAGAATATATTTTATCAAAGTGTTAATGACAGTTTTAATTGAAGTAGTGATCTTAAATCTGATGAAGAATTTTGTAATGATTCTTAATTGATGATCAATCAATCAAGAATCCTTTTGATCCACATCCCTTGAATATATTTGATTTGATTCCAGGTACTTCAGAAAACCATTTTACATCAGGTACATTTTCTTTTTCTTAATAATTATTGCTTTCTACTTCGATATATTCTTCATCATTTTCATTTTGAAATTCCCCTTTATCATTTAAAAGATCATTATAAAATTCTTCATCGAATTCAAGATCATTACTTCATTAAAACTGTCATTATCACTTTGATATAGTCTCTATTTCTGTCATTATGGGGTTGTGTATCCCAAACAAGGATCACCAAACATCTGAAATTATTTGTTCTGTTGCAACAGATACACATTACTTTGAAATAAGCCAGAATGAACTAGCTAAATCTTGTCTCAGTTTTAACCCATTAACCGCCAAAACTACAGAATGTTTTTCTTCTCTGGCATATAAGCAAATATTAAATTAAAGCATTTAGAACATAATTTACATTGGAAAATAAAAAAAAAATTCTCTTACCTGTGGAAAAAGTGAGTGTTGCATTCCGTGCAATGTCAGCGGAATAACTACGGATGTTTATGAGTAGATTGTACTCGTGTGACTTTCCTTTTAGTGGAGCGCTGATTATTTTTGTAGCTGTATAACGTTTTATAAATCTAAAATCACTTTCTTAATTAATTTAATTTAAACTATACATGTTTTTCTGTTACAACTTACAGATTATTCATTGAAAGTTCAAGCTGAAAAGCTTGATTACAATCATGTATGTAAGCTACATGACATAC